TCTTTGTTTACATATTAAGCTCTAGATTTAAAAAGCATAAAGTATATCAACCCACATCCGATTATCCTAGGCTCTCTTTCATGACCCCAGAAGTCTCCCCCGCTTTTCATGCTACCAGCATTTGTCAACATGGTTTTGTGAAATTCCTATGGTCAATAGGAAGTTAAAATGGGTATGTTAAACTTCCAGTTGGACTGTCACACCCTAGTTATTCTAACTGCAATTTTTTTCCAAATGCTAAAGGGACTGAAGTATCATTTCTCCACCCCTATCCTGGCTTCAGTTCAGCATCTCTGCTCTCCTTGCAGTCCTTAGAGGATGTTTTTTTAAAGTGTATCCTTGTTCTAGACTCTCAGCCCTACAAGATAGACCAGACTAAGAAGCTAATATCATGGAAGTTAGGATTATTTTTATTGTAACAGCTATAGGAACAAAATCTTGCTAGTCTAAATGTGCCTATCCCTTATTCCTTCATGAACTAGGGAGCAGCTGGTCTGAAATGTTTCCTCAAAATTTGTTACTTGGCCTAGGCTCAAAATCTGCTTACCTAACCATTGCCTTGGCAACACTTCTTCGTCCTGACTTTCAAGGCCATTCCCTGTGTCCATTACACAGAGATCTCAACAGGTCAGGGGATTTTTAGTCCAGACCTCTTGGATGTTCCTTTGATTCTCATTATTCTTTTATGCTGGTTTGTAGGGTACATGACAACCCCTGATACTCTATGGTGACACTCTGTATTAAAATAAAAATGCAGATAGAGCTTCATTTTAATTTGTTGATGAATCTTACATAGAACTGACTTTTCCACTTATCAGTTAAATGGTGAACCTCCCTGTGCCTTTGCAGAACCTTCTCATTTATTAACTGCTTTACTTGTATTTTGAGTTACCTGCAGGTCTCAAAATACCTTTTTGAAGCCCAGACTTGATGCTAAAATGTTATTTACATACAATATATACATGCAAAGCATACAAAATACCAAATAACTGAGTTGGAAGGAACCTTGAAGGTCTTCTAGTCCAACCCCAGTTCTCAAGCAGGTGATCCTATATCATTTTACACAAATAATTGTCCAGTCTCTTCTTAAAAGCCTCCAGTGTTGGAACACTCACAAATTCTGAAATTTTTCCTTAATTCTAGGTTGCTTCTCTCCTTTTTCAATTTCCCTCCATTGCTTCTTGTCTTGCCTTCTAAAATATTATCCCCTTGTCCAGTATAATAAAAGCTATGCAATATTCTTGCCTTTCCCACATCCATAATTTCAAATTAATTTCACCATAACTAAACATATATTCATTTTGATCTTTCAAATATAATTCACCTTCTGGCCTAAATCTTTCTTTCTCAGGTATGGAAAATATGACATAGAAGATGTATATATGAACTACTCACATTTTAGAATATTAGATGTCTTACTGACAATGGTGATTGAAACCTGGCTGCTTCTACATACTTTATGAAAGCTAAGTCCATTCTGAAGTACCCCTGTCCAAAATGCAGAATGACAAGCCTTTGCATCTTCTCTTAACTTGATAGAAAGAGTGGGGAAATGATTGGAGGGGAGGGGGAGAGAGAGGAGGGAACACATATGCCCTGACATCTAAAGCTTGGATTAATTAGGTTGTTCAATGGGGTTTGACAATATCTGAAGCGGCACAAATTTCCTTGAAAGAGGTAAAGAGGGAACAGGGGAATTGTTCTCACCCATGTGTCAGACTCACTACACTGCCCAGGAAGCATAGGTTCTCTGATCATGCCCTGTATGTTAGGAGGTGATCATTAGTGAAACCAGCTAGGTAGTGCACTAGCTCACGTGCACCAAAAGGTCTGTGATTAATCAAATGTCCCTGTGGACATAGTATGTGATTTGTCTTTCCATGGCCACAAGTCCAGTGCTTGTAATCCTGTCACATGCCAACCTCCCATGGACATGGTGTGTCAGAGGTCATAAACAGCTAGGGCTAGCCCATTAAACTGGAATTTGCAAAGCAAGCTTTAAAAGTGACACACCCAGGATCTATTGTGTCACAAGTGAGAGATTTAAAACCATAAACCTCCGGTCTTAAAGAGTACATCGTGACATTTTAAGGAAAGTTAGAAAGACACAATTGGATATTAAAAGATGCAGGCATAGATTGGTAGTGAAGATAGTAATCTAAAACGTTGTGCTTCAAGCTTGCTTTTCAGGTTTCCAAAGTCCCTAACCCTAACTCTTCCCCCCCAAAAAGCAGTTTTGTTAAAAAAAAAATCTTACTCTGGTCATATGTATAACCTAACCCTATATAGGCCACAGGCTTCCTACTGAAGCTCTTGATCTGTCAAAAAATACTAAGTGCAACTGCTGGCTATCAAAAGTTGTCCATCTGTAGCAAAGGCCAATCTAAACAAGGATGAATGGAGGAGCAAAGGTTCTGAAGAATTAACTGAAACACAACTTGCATAACCTCCCATTTCACCTACTTAAACAACAACAAAAATTGCAATTTTCAAGGCCTGTTCTTCAAGAATGAGCTTCAGTGAGAATGAATGTTAATGGGAGATGCAAAACCTAACCAGGGAAGAATGACATTATAGGACATGTGGTGTCTTTCATGCTGAACTTGACATATCAAGAATAATCAGGCACTAGTTCTCCATGGATCCGCACTCTCTCCACTTTCCAAAGTCATTGCCAATGAAAAGGAAGAGGTAACAAACATTGATAGAAGCAGCTGAAGGAACGTCTAGATTAATTTTGTTTCCCTTTTCAACTGAGAGTGAAAGAAAATAAGGACATCACAAGCTAGTACTCATCTGGTACAATAATCAAGGATGTAATTTTGCCTTGAGGTTTCTAATATGAATTAGGGCAGATGGTTGCTAGCAGGTTGCCTTGCACAGTGAGCTAAGCAGCAGATGGAGGCCATCCATGAGCTGGTTATTGGACCTTCTGAACAGAGTCCCATTAAATGGGGTGGATTCATGGCCATCAGAAACAGCACTGGGAACACTGGCAGCGTATGGCAAGTGACGCCTTGACTTCTCTTCACAGAGCCCTTTCAGAAAAACAAAAATAGGTTGCCCACTCTGAATTCTGACAATCCAATAAACTTTCTGGATTATAGAGAGGTATGAAAAGACAGGGACATCTTTTCCAGAGAGAAAAGCTGACAAAAAGTGGGAGAAGGTACATTATAGGCATCCCATTAGCATTCAATGCTGAGACAACTTAGAGACAGAGAAGTACTATTTAAACTATAAATAAACTATTTATTTTAGTTTGTAGATATAATAGCATCCTTTGTTCTCTCTGCTTTTGCAGATTAACACAAGTACCTCTTGTTACAGAATGGCAGCCCTTGACCATTTCTTGGTTTGAATTGGAAGCCGCTGGAGTCCCTTTCTCCATCTGGTACCCTCTAGTTGTTATTGGTTTGAATTGGAAGCCGCTGGAGTCCCTTTCTCCATCTGGTACCCTCTAGTTGTTATTGGGATGCCAAACTCCTGCTTTCACAGCCATTCCTAGCTGTGGTGGTTATGTATTCAGAGAATTCTACAGTAGTTCGGATACCTGGAGGGCAACTCCAAATCAAGGATTACCAAAAAAAAAAAAAAAATCCTGCTACTTTTATCACATTATTTATTCCTGCTTGTGACATTGCTACAAAAGAAACAACAGGGAGGTACCAAAAGTAGCTGTTATGCCAAGAACACAAACTGTGGTTTCCATTTTTAAAAAAATCTTTATCTCAAGTACATTTGGGAGGTGTGCCTTGATTGGAAGCAAAAAAAGCAAATTCTGCATTAAAAAAAAATTACTCAATAATGCAGGGATAGGAAAATCTCAAAATCAGTGTTTCTTATTGAAAATGATGGGAATGCTTGGAGAAAATAGGCTCATTTCTTTGGCAAATTGATCCTTTTTCTGATGTTTTAAGCAAGTGGGTCAGGAGACTCACATCTGAATGCTGTTCTTTCTTTTTCCTCCATTGACTGAAGGTTATTGAAACTCAATCTACAGCAATAAACCATGATGTTGTGGCTCTAATTCCTTGGTGGAGAATGACTCTTCTCAACCAAAAAGGCTGCTGTTCATGGCCATAGTATGACTTCTTCTTAGAAACAGTGAACACACTTGGTATCACATTCCCATCAAAACCCATGTAATATATCCTTGCATTGCCCTGCTGCTATCCTTGTTGACTTAGGCTCTCCTTTCACCAGCTCTAGGTAAACAGGATAAGAGGAAGAAGGAATTGGAAAAAGTGAGAAGGTAAGATCTCAAAATGTTGGTCATTGAGTTCACAGTTTCCTGGTGATTAGGAATTGATTAAAAATGTTTGTTATGGTGCCTCTTTGGGGTGATGTGTGACATCTTTTCACATAAGGGCAGAAAGGTCACAGGAAGCAAAATGTGGGGCACCGCCCAGACTGGCAGCAATCACTTGTCTTACACAATGTGTAGTTTTCTGTTTTCAGTGAAAGGATAAACCTAACAAGCCTGTACAAGGAATCTTTACTCTTAGTTTACAGAAGGCAGCAGTACCTAATGATCAAACAAACAAAAGCAAACAACCATTACCACCACCACCAGCACTCAACTAGACTAAATTAGGTGAAAGTTTTCCTCTCAAAGGAAGGAAATGACAAAAGGTACTTAGACTGTTGGTGGCACTTCCATATTGTAGCTGAGAGAAGGAAAAAAAAAGATGTGCAGGTATTCGCCCAAGAGCTTTATGCTACATTTTAAAGTTCCTGGTAGATCATATACAATATTTGAGCCAAATACAGTTGATGTTTAATATGCATATGATTTAGAAGGTGATCCTTTCTCACAAAGCACTTTTGTATGTTTAAAAAGCAGGAAATATATGTATGTACACATCCTTGAAAACTGCAATGTGGTAGAGGTGTATTTGATGAATATTTCTTTTTTAAAAAATAATAGCAAGAGTAGCAACTGACACATGGGAGACCACTTTCACCCAGGATGAATGAGAGGGAAGCAAAAAATACAGATAGCAGGTGGGTTTTCGCAAAGAGTTCAAGAACAGCTAAGATTGCTAAAGCTATTGCTATTTCTTTGTGCCGATAGCTGTACTAGGGCCACAAAAATCTAATTCAATTTTAGCTTGTGATGTGCTTGCTTGTGGAAATTGGTCCCTTCTAGACAGAGATCTGGAATCTAATAGAAATTATTGAATCTGATTCCCATTGGAGTCTGATGGAACAAGTCATTAGGCAGATAAGTATACCAAGTAAGGTGCATCAAGTTAAAGACGAGCATCCTGAAGGAAGGGTAGAATATAACTATTGGTGCAAATAAGGGTAATAGTTTTTGCTCTTCCTCCAAAATTTCAGGGCTGTGGTGTGGCTATATACAAGCCAGAAGGCTCCTAAAGAACATATTGGAATAGATATTCGGTAAAACAATAGTTTTACAAGCAGTTGGTTTTTTTGGCAGTAACCTTGTTGCTGCAGAAACATTTGAACAGAGCCTGAGGCAAACTAGAAAGCGATCAAATAGATGAGTGAGAAGAATGCCTTAATACAGAGGGAGTAAGAAAGAATGCCAGCAGAGTAAAGGTTGGCTATTTGACTTCCTTCGAATATTCAATTTATTCCCTGTTCTGAACAATTTGTAAATGACAGATCTACCCATTTCCCTTCATAATATGCAACTTGATTCCCCTAGAAAGGTGCCTCCTGTGCATGCCAGAGAAGATGGATGTGCAAAATAGATGGTCGCAGCCTGCTCTTGCATTTGCAATGACCATGTGTTAATGACCTTTTCCTGGCAAGAATCCCTGCTTCACAATCATTGACGGTGTTCAACATGTTCCTTTGTGCTGCTTTAATCATTGATGCAGTTTAAGCAACACTTGCCTACATCCCTATTGACTTCAGTCTGAACACAGAATGGATGTTGATGAAACACACCTTGATATTCACTTTGGGAAACAGGGAAATCGTTTCCTCCTCTTGCTTGTATGAAAGAGGTACAAGCACAATCTGTTCAGAGACCCAGAACATAAAAGAGAGCCAAATCTGCCATGATCTCAGCCAAGAACTCAACTGGAAAAGGATGGTGTTCAGGATGGGGGGAAGGGAGTGGCACAGAATTGAAGGCAATCAGAATCAATATAATCAAGGATGTGGTTTAGCTGTCTAACAGACACCTTGTCTGCTGCTGCACTATTTTTAAGTTCTTTGAGCCATTTTTCATGATGAAGCACTGGATCTTATGTCTTCTCAGGTGTGTAAGTTAAAAGGCTAAGCTGCATCAGCTAGCATTTATGACCGTTCTCAAAATGACTATTCAGTGCAGTACAACAGCAGCGTGCATTAGTAAAAAAGGAGCATTGATACACAGTCTAGGTACACTTACTCAGAGTAAGGCCCCTCAGGGAGCAATGAGGCTGACTTCTAATAACTTTATTACCCAGAAATCGGATCTGATGGATCCAGGTATGATTGGCATTTTTGCATAAAGGGTGGGCCCATTTGAAATGCAACACTCAAAACCAAAAACAAAGCAGTATTAGTAGGGGGAAAAAAGAGGTAACATGGCATCAATCAGAATTATTTCAATTAAGGCAATTGTATACTATATTCCAGCACGCCCAGTGATTCTCTCAAGAGATGCCTTGCATTAAAGGCATCTTTCAGCATATGCCAACCTCTCTGGTAATTCACTGGAAAAATGGGGAAAAAATGGAAAAATGGGAAATAAAAGATCATGATTTTGCTTCAGTTCATGGAAGATGTAACTTCTCCACCAACCTCAGGGGTGCTCTGTCCACTACACTCCAATGAATGCTACAAGAAGAGACAAGAAGACCAGCAAGCAACCAAGGGAAATCCTCAGTGCTGCTTAGCTATGATAGTTTTTCTTTCCCTTCTCCTTGTAGATGCTCTCAAGTACTCCCAAACTAAAACTGGACAGTTAATCTCCATGGTATTCCTTGGGTGTTGCACAAGGACAAGACAAAGATGGTAGGTAAAGATACAAACAGAGGGTGATCTCTCTTGCTTTCTCTTGCTCACACATATGCACGCACACATACACACATAGACATAAACACAAAACCCTTCAAGAATCTATGCAGGTGCCACTCAGATATTACTGCTGAAGAGAAACCATAATCTGTCCTTTTTTGCTTAGGCAATGGCAGATCATGGATGCTGCATGACCCAGAAAAGTAGGGGTAACCCCAAGTCACTGTAGACCAATTTTGTCAACTTTTAATGATGCATCTTCCTGAATGACTCTGGGTGGCTTATAATGATTGGATTAAAACAATCATTGTAAACAACCATCCTGGGATGAACTAATCAGATGTATTAAATCATTATTGATGCTTAGTGGAACCACATATACAAGTAATACAGAGCCTGATGGAAGAGGAAGAGGAAGGTTTTAAATTCCTTTCTGAATGCCAGCCTATTGGGGACATACTTTTCCAAAGGATTGGCAATGCAATTATTGATTAATAAAAATAATTGGGATAATGGTGTCCTGCAAATATGCAGGCTGCATGCCATAAAGAGCTTCATAGAAGACCACCAGCACTTTGAATTGCATCTGGAAGTCTACTGATAACCAGTACAGCTCATGGAGGTTAGAGTGTTACAAATACATACTGAAATATATTACTCATGCCACTTCATTCTGGGCCAATTGTAGCTTCAGATTTTCAACAAATGAACCCAATATGGATTTTATAGAAAATTAGAGACATTTCAACCAGTGGCCTATCTAGAATTTATACTATATCCAAGTCTTGAGAATGCTTTTCATTTTACCCAGCCTTCTATCCACCATAACATTATCTATACCCAGTTCAACATCTTGCTGAATCTATTATATTTCCTGTTACCATCATCTTCAAATCAAGTGTGGGTGAAATCTGGAGCCTTTGTTTTAAAACATATACAAATTAATACTGAGCTTCAGGTATCCTATCTTTATATGTGCCTTAGTTTAAAGTAAAGCTGTCAAAGATAGACCTTGGGTATCTGTGTTCAAAGTCACTAAGGCTTCCATTCTGTAGGACCATAGTATCCTTCCCTCAGTGTGACTGTGGGGTCCTGTGTCAAGCTGTAGATCACATCATGACTGGCTGTAAGCTGAAGGGCATATACTGGTCCGATATCTTTTAAAATATAAATGATAGTGCACTTTAATAGTAAGATGGCTTAGATATTGGTATTTGAACATAGATCTTTTAAACATATATTTATTGTGTTCTATTCATCTAGATGAATTGTATATATACTGCATCACCATATAGCTAGTCCATGTATGATATGCCATGCATGACTCAATAAATAAATAAACTTCAGGACCAGAAAGTTATGAAAAATAAGATTGTTCTATTGTTTCTCATTGGGTGAAATAATGCTTTTTCTCTAAGGACAGATATTCTACAAAGAATCAGCTTGCTTTTAAAATGCTGTGTTATACCATTTATTATGCTATTGTGATGATTAGAGTTTAAGAAGAGAATGTTGTATCATCTGATATCTTTGGAGTGCAGAGGTAACAAGAAGCATAGATGGCCTCAAATACAATTTCACCACTGATATTCCTAAGCCTGGGTAAGAAAGGAGAAAGCGTAGGCATCAGGCTAGCAACCCAACTCTAACAACAATAACAACAGCACTACTGAAGCAATTAATGCAATTCAATGAGACACTTAAAAGCCGTTTGACAATACCCTGTGATGGTGCTTGATGAAAGCTGAAAAAAAAACCCAGTGTCGGATACAGAGCTCAATTCCAAAACCATCAAAAGAATACAGAGTGCACAGATACTACACTTGTATGGAAAATTAACACAATTGCTTGATGATTTTATACTTATCATGTATTTGTACATCCTGAGCATAAAGATAAGATAAAAAAAGAAGTGACAAGATAGTTAGTGATAGCAAGACCATTCAGTTTTCTGGAATGGATAATCTACATGTGCATTGTGTTGGTCTTTGGTGTTGCACAAGGGGGCAAAAAGGGGGTTTATTGGATGTAAGCCAGTGGATGATCATAGCAAGATTTCAATCAAGGCTTGCAGAAACAACCATCATCCCATCTTAGGTATCAACTGAGGATGCACATGAAGCTGAGAAGGACATACTCTATGAACAACTACAAGATACTTTCAGTGATATACCCAATCATAACATTATGCACAAATAGGCAACAATAACCAAGGATGAGAACAAATGATTGACCTGCATCGAACAGCAGCACAAAGATGCAACCCTGGAGAGCTCTTGCTGGATTTTGTAACATCAATATTTTTTATCTACTCTATAGATAAAAAATATTCACACAAACACACATTAAAACATTAAACACATTAAAACTAGTATCTAAACTTCTGGACCTTGGACTTTCTAATTCAATCTGATTTTGGATTATGGACTTCCTGTCTGGCCACTCACAAGGGGTCAGATTAGGTAATCATACCTCTTCAGCCCTTATTCTTAACATTGGTGCACCATAGGGTTGCGTGTTGAGTCCCTTACTCTATACTCTTTAAGTGTATGACTGCATTCCCACTCATGCTAGTAATACTATTGCTAAATTTGCAGATGGTACAACAGTAGTATGACTCATCTCCAGGGGGGATGAGTCTGCCTAGTGAAATGAGGTGGACGGGTTGCTTTCATGATGTGGAGACAATAACTTGGTCCTCAACAGCAATAAGACCAAGGAACTTGTAGTAGACTATAGAAGGAACAGATCAGACATCCAATCCTTGCTTATCAATGAAGACGAAGTGGAGCAAGTGGCCAGTTTTAAGGTTCTGGGTGTTACCCTAAAAGAGCACCTGATCTGGGATGCTCACATTGCAGCCCTGGTCAAAAGGGCCCAGCAAAAATTATACTACCTGAGACATCTCAGAAAACAACAACTGAATGAAAAACTGCTGATGACCTTCTACTGCTGCACCATAGAGAGCATTTTAACATACTGCACCTCTGTACAGTGGCAGATAGGAAAGCACTCCAGAGGTTTAATGTCATTGCCCAGAAGATCATTGGTTGCCCTCTCCCCTCTTTGGAAGAGCTTTACAGCTCCCGCTGCCTTAAGAAAGTTCAAAACATTCTCAAAGATCCATCTCATCCTGGGAACCCTTTTTTTTTGAATTACTACCATCTGGCAGATGGTACAGAATAATAAAAACAAGGACAAATAGACTGAAAAACAGCTTCTATTCCAGGCAGTAGCTCTTTTGAATTCTGCTGTATAGTGCAGTGTTGGTGTGGTGTCAGGGGGTGGGGGTTCGGTTC